TTTGAGAAAGCTCTCTGTAGCTTTTGGCATGTTTGAATCCTGGATAGTTAAGGCTTCATTTAATAGCCTGCTGTGTTTCCTGCTGCCCTTGGGTCTGTGTCTGGAACTGAACTAGTGGCCTGCCGTGTTGTGTGGTAATATTGAGACTATGACCTTGCATTTGTCAAGCTTGGGTTTGTCAGCCTCAGCAGCCAGCAGCTACCTGAGCGATGAGACAGTTCCAGCTCCAGTAGGCTGGGAACAAGATGCAGAGCTGAGGTCAAGGTCGAGGGGCTTTCACCCCTAGAGCTGGCACTTTGAACTAGGATTTCTAGCCTCCAAAATTTTGAGAAAAAACTCTTGTTTGTTAAAGCTACTCATCTGTGGTATTATCTGTTAGGGTAGCACAAGGTAACCAAAACAGTTACAGAGATGGGAAATGTAGAGATACTATTTGAAAAAGGCAGGAGAAATGGATGTCTGAGTGGCAACCAATACATGGTTTCTACAGAACAGGGTTTGTTTACTTGTTTTCAGTATCGGATATGTCTGTGCTCAGGAACTGTAGTGGTGGAGATTAGAAGGAAAGGAAAGCTTGGTGAGGACTCTGAGAAGTAATTCAGCAAAAAGGTTTCTCCTCTATCCTGAAAACTCTGTAGTCATTTGGCACAGATGGACTCACCGTTGTTAATTGCTGTCAAATTTATTCAGACTCGTGCAATTCCAGGTATGCAGAGTAGAAGTGCTCCAAAGGGTTTGAAAGGCTGTGTGATCTTTTGGACGCTGTTTGCCAGGGCTTCTTAGGCATCTCTGGGTGGATTCTAGCCACCAACTTTTTGGCTATTAGCCTAGCTCTTAATCTTTGCACCACTCAGGGATCATGGGCACGCCAGCTTGTACTAATTATCACTGCCTCCTCTTTTTCTTTCATGGGTCAAACTATCAGCAAGCTTAGAGACCCTGAGAGTACCTCCACCAGGTGCAGAATCAATCACAGAAAGCAAAGATATTCATTCCAATTGTTTTAGGACTAATACCTGATTTTCCCCAGCCCAAATGCTTGTGACTGGTGTAGTTATGTATTTTTGTTCAGGGAATAACTTTCTTTTCTAAATTCTTAGGATTTAATAACTTCTGATTTCTGTGTGTTTTTGAAAGGGGATGAAGATTTGGATTGTATTTGAGAAGAGAAGGGGTCTAAAGAGAATTCTTTGGCCATCTTGGACCTGAGGGATTATGGGAAATTTCAGGGCTGTGTAGTCACTGAAAGGCATCTGTGGGAAGCATACCAGGCCATTTTCAGACCTTCCTTGTCATGGGTTCCTTTTCCTTTTTACTTGGATGATAATAGCTGTCATTCAAGGCTGTTCTAGCTACTACTGCCACATAACAAATATCCAAAAAAGCAGATTAAACCAACTATTTGGTACCATATTAAAAGAAGCTGAAGAGATTTGACAAGTAAATGCAATACCTGAACCTAGACTGGATCCTGTACTGAAGGACAAAAATTCTCTAAAACATATTGAGTAAACTAACAAAACTGGAATACAAATGGTAGATTAGGCAAAATATTCCTATCGCTGTTAAATTTACTGAAGTTGCTAAGTGTACTGCCGTTATGGAGGAGAAAACATCCCTATTTTTAGGAAACACACACTGAAGTACTGAAGTAGGGGTAAAGGGCCATGGGGTATGTAACTCACCCTTGAATAGTTCAGAATAAATTATGTGTGTGTGTGTGTGTGTGTGTATGCATATATGTATGTATGTGTATATATATGTATATATCAACCACTTTGTACCACATTAAAAGAAGCTGAAAAAATTTGACAACTAAATGCAATGCCTGACTCTAGACTGGATCTCTCTCTCACACACACATACACATACACACACATACAGAGTCATGTGCATGTGTTGCTTAATTACTACAATACATTCTGTGAAATAGGACATTATGTGAACACCATATTGTATACAGGCACTTCCTGGGTTATGAATGAGTTCTTTTCCTTGATCTGTCTTTAAATTGAATTTGTACCTAAGCCAGAGCAGTTAGGAATGGTTTGTATCTCACTTCAGTAAATGTGTAGTATGTAGTATATATAGTATACATTTCTATGCGTAAAAGAACATTAAACACATCATATACATTAAAACATCTTTAACACAATACAGTAATAATAATGCTTTGATATATATCATAAAATAGCACCTGTTTGCTATTATGAACCATTATACTCTAAAAACTCACTGCCATTGAGTCAATTCTGACCCATGGTGACCTCCATTATGTTTCCAAGGCTATAAATGTTTACAGAAGTAGACTGCCCAATCTCTCTTCCATGGAGCAGCTAGTGGGTTCAAACTACCAACCTTCTGGTTAGCAGCCAAATGCTTTAACCAGTACACCACCAGAGCTCCTTATGAACATTTTATGTACCTTGAATTTTTCATATAGTAGGCTTCATGGGCTTGGGACCACAAATGTATATGTGGTCAGATGTTGCTTGAATGGACATTATGTGGCTCATGACTAATACATATATATACACACATACATATAAACACACACGTGTGTGTGTATCTAGAGAGGTGAGAAGTGAGAAAGGAGCTCTGGTGGCACAGTGCCTAAGGCACTTGGCTGCTAACCAGAAGATTGGTGGTTCAAACTCATTAGGCACTCCATGGAAGGAAGACTGGGCAATCTACTTCCACAAAGATTTACTGCCTCAGAAACTCAGCAGGGACCACTGTGAGTTGGGATTGACTTGATGGCAGTGGGTTTTAGAGAGAGGTGAGAAGAAGCTCTGGTGGTGCAGTGGTTAAAACATTTGGCTGCTATCCAAAAGGTCTGCAGTTTGAACCCATTAGCTGCTCCATGGGAGAAAGATCAGGCAATCTGCTTCCATAAAGATTTACAGCCTTGGAAAGCTTATGGGGCAGTTCTAAGTATGCCCTGTAGAGTCACTATGAATGGGAGTCAACTTGATGGCAATAGGTTGGATTGGGTTAGAGAGGACAGACCGATAAAGCAAATGGGGTAAAATGTTCACAATTTGTGAAAAATTGGTTAAAGGGCATATGGGTGTTCTTTATACTTTACACATTGAAATTATTTCCAAATTGAAAAAAAAAATAACCATTTTACTATCTTATTTTGCTCATGATTCTGTGGGTCAGGAATTGGAAAGGGTTCAGGTGGGCAGTTGTTACTCAGAGTCTCTCATGTGTTTTCAGTCAGATGCCTGCTGGCGTTGCAGTCATCTCAGGATTCAACTGCGCTGGGTATCCAAGATGGCTCACTCACATTGCTGGCAGTTGATGCCAGTGGTCTTCTGGGACCTCAGCTTGACTTTCAATTGGCAAGCCTGCATATGGCCTCTCCAGCATGGCAATGTGAGGGTAAGCAAACTTCCTTTTACTTTGTTTTCCCCTGCAAGCATCCTTAGGGAATATGCACACATGCAACAGGTGCTTATGAAGTGGTAACTTTTGTCACTATGCTTTGTAATTTGCCTGTTTTCCTGGCTGTTTCCTCCAACTGGACTCCAAGTTACCTGAGGGCAGGGACACTATTTTGTTTACTAATGCGTCTCTGGTATCCAGCACAGTGCCTGGTACATAGTATGTTCAGTAAGTTGCACGGCTTCTTCTAACTTAGGCTCCGAAGTTATGCAGCATCTTTTCTGTTTCATTAGCATGGGGCGAAGTGAATCACTAAGATCACTAAGTAGTAGTCAAGAACTTGCAGTCACGTTGTAAAACTGCTGTAAATGATTACTACATGTCAGACATGTTTTATGTGTTTAACATGCATCAGCTCATTTTATTCTTATTATAAACCCCATGAGGTAAGTGGTCTAGTCTATTACCCTTATTTTAGTGAAGAGGAAACTGAGTCGGGAAGCTAAATTCCCAATAACATATACCATTAGTGAGATTTGAATCCAGCGATTCTGGCCCCAGAGCCCATGCCTTTAACTACTCTCCTATGCTGCCTGTACCTAGAGCTGTGAGTCCTGTTATATTAAGTTAATCTGTCATACATCCAGATAATCATTTCTTATTCATCTACCCTCATGCAATCTCCTCCAACACATTTGAAACCACGTGACACAATCCTTCTCTTCTCAGCTCTGGCCTTTTGCCTATGTTGTTTCCTCTTCCTGGACTAGTTTTCTTCCATTTATTCACCTGTCAAAATTATTTATTCTTCAGAGCTTCTAGAAGCCTTACCTGAGCACCCAACTCTGGGTTTGAATCCATCTGCTATGGACCCACATGCAACGCGTGCTTATGAAGTTGTAACTTTTGTCACTATGCTTTGTAATCTGCCTGTTTTCCTGGCTATTTCCCCCACTGGACTCCAAGTTACATGAGGGCGGGGACACTGTCTATTCTGTTTACCAATGCATCTCTGGTATCGAGCACAGTGCCTGGTACATAATATGTTCAGTAAGTTCAAACTCATCTCCCATACTCTCACTCTTCATATACAGTTTTCACATATTTCTCACACATACGTACAGCCCCTAAGACACTTTTCTGACATGTACAAAATCTGTCCACACATGCTTAAGACTTATTCCCAGTGCTCAGTCACTGTCACATTCCTCATACACAATCACTGTGGCACAGCTCTAATCCTCAATCACTGTCACATACGGTGTTTTTCACACAATCATGGTCACCGTCTGCACCCTTCAAACACGACAGTTACTCTCCTACAAAGTAAGATGACAACAGCTCTATTTTTCACACATATACTGTATTTTTCATAAGCATAATCTGACATATATCATTATGGCCACACAGTGTTTTTATTGTCTTTTTCCCACAACCGTTTTCACCCACATCCACACTCTTAAACACGTACAGCCAAGGGACTGGAGAGGCATATCCGTGGGGGTCTGAAGACCAGTTAACACGGGAATCCCAGTCCCAGGCCGGCACGGCCCCGCCCAGGACCCGCCCCCTAATGCATATGCAGCACCTCAACAGAGCAGCCCGGCCTCCAGACGGCCATTTGTGGCGGCGCTGGAGGCTGCGTTCGGCAGGAGCTGCGGAGACGTGTAGAAGAGTGCGACCCCCGGCTGTTGCCGCCCCTGGCCCCTGTGGACACCCAGCTTCTCCGCTTCTCCGCTGGGATCTGGTCAGGCCCGGGCGCCACGCTGCAGCGTGGACAGACCTTCCTAGTAGCTCCTGGTGCCCGGGACCCCCGCCGGGCCGCTAGTACGCAGCCCGCCGGCCGCAGACGTCCCCGGAGCCGGGCCTAGGGCGGGCGGCGGCTCGGTACGGCCGGGCTGGGCTCGGCGGCGTCCCCATGGCCGCGGCCGGCTGGCGGGACGGCTCTGGCCAGGAGAAGTACCGGCTTGTGGTGGTCGGTGGAGGCGGCGTGGGCAAGTCGGCGCTCACCATCCAGTTCATCCAGGTGCCCAGA